TTTTTTTTTTTTAACATTCTGCGACGCTTCCTTTTTCGGGGCAAACCTCAGGGTTCTCGCAGAATCACCTGTCCGGGCGAGAGCTCTCCCACTCTGGGGCCGTCACGTTGGACTCTCACACACATCACATCACTGCTATTTCCTGAATGCTGTTACACTTGAACTCTGGAATTCCTCCTAGGAAAATCTCGTCTGTAAAGTCCCGCTTTTATGGGAAACGGCACAATAAAGCTCTCAGGGTTAAAGTGAGTGGCGACTTGTCCAGTCTGATTGCGAGCTGACCCCTGAACTTTAGGGACGATATGATGCTTTTCTTTATAATTTAGTCCCCTGTCTGACCACTGGCTTAGCATCGCTCCTGTTCGTACCATCCTGCGCTTACTGAAGCAATTCAGGTTAAACCAGGGCTCACGGGTGCTTTTGCTGCTTGCCTCGCAATGTGTGTTTGAGAGTCGGAATGAGATGAGAAAAGGGAACATGTCTGCGTGGTCCAAAGTAAATCCTCAGACTGAAGGCTCCTGCACCCAGCAGATAAACACTGGCTGACGTCTGGCTTGTTGAACTTGGCTGCCAGGTTCACTTTTGTGAGGGAGGCTGATTTTTTGGCAAGTATTTTTTTTTTTTATAATTGTCCAGTCTATCCGCCCCAGCCTGTAAACTACAGAAACGAGAAAAGTTTGAAAGCTGTGTGTATTATAATAAAGTGTGTTTATTAGCCTGGGCATAGAGCAGGCTATTCTGGTGTTTTCAAAGCGAGTGATTAAGATGCATTTCGCGGCGTTCATGTGGTGGAGAGAGGGTGGTGATCACACCCTTTCATAAAAGCAGCCCCGCTTGGAGCTTGGCCCTGTAGTGATGTAGGAGTTTCTGGCTGAACATGGTGACACGAGCATAATTAGCCCCAAGTCAGTTTCCTTTAAGGGCTGTATTCATTTTCAGTGGGACCAGAACCAGCCAATGACTTGTGCTGTTTTCTAATCCGAGATGATCGCGGTATTTCAGCGCTCTGATTTTTATCCGGCACAGTTTGCCTGCTTGTCCGCCGATGTTGTTTCAGGCATTATTGCCGAGTTATGGTATTCCAGGGAGTTTGTGTTCCTGCTCACACACGGTGGCCAGTGTGCCTGCATACTGTACATACGTTTTTTAGCAGGTATTTTTAAAGCCTGCTTTTCCTATTGATTCAGCTTGTCTGCTGCTTGCCCCCCTGCCCCCCCCGGATGCTGTGGTCTTGTGCCCGTCTCGCTGACCTTTACGGCAACTGAGATCCACCAAAAGCACGCTGGCGCCCATTCAGACAGGAATGCGCCGGGCTGTAGGTGTTATAATGCAGAGCAGCTTTTTACAAGGTGAGAAGCATCTGAAGTTTGCATAGGCGAAAGGAGGGGGCGGCTTGTGGCTCAACCTCGCGTTCACAGATCGGGCGGATGCAACAGAGGAGACGCTGCATCAACAGATCTGGTGACAGTCAAGGAAGAAACGCCGTGTTTGTATTTTGTTTATTTTGACTAACAAAACATTTGGCTCAGAAACCGTTTCATCTTCCGAAAGTCGACTTGCAGAGGAGACCTCCTGTGAATTGCTGTCTCCCCTTCTAGGCCAGGTGGAACCTGGGAAATTCACTGTGGGAGCGATTGTCTACCGCGACGAGGGTGTGTTAGTATTGAGGCACAACCAAGCGGTACGACGCCAGCTGGATGGAGATAGCCACTTCCCGTGGGCAGTCAGCTCCCTGTACACCAGTTAAAGACTGATAGACACGCTGTAGTTGCTGCGGTACAGTAGCCCCCCCCCCCGCAGGTCGGCACTGTGCTGCGTCGCACCTGTGAACATTGCAGCTGACCGGTTGGCGCTTTAATCGTGTTTTCACAAAATCGTTGTTTCATCAGGTCAGCGCCTCCTTGCAGATACAGTGATTGGCGGTAAGGCAGTGAAGGGGGGCGGTGTGGATGTAGCAGAAAGGGGGGGGGGGGGGGGGGGGGGGTTGTAGCACTGGGCGTTTGTTTCCTCACCATGTGAAGTCCTCGGGCCTGACTTCATGGCGCTTGCTTTTCAGGATTCCCTCCGACAGAAGGATGATCGCATCGAGGAGCTGGAGGAGGCGTTGCGAGAGAGTGTGCAGATCACAGCGGAGCGGGAGATGGTGCTGGCCCAGGAGGAGACAGCCCGCACGCATGCCGAGAAGCAGGTGGGCGCCATGGCGACGCTAACCTGCTCCACGCCGCTCTCTGCCGTACTTCCGCTTCTCTTTTGGCTGGAGACCAGAGTCCTTGTATCCATTTTTATGCAATAATCATTCTCATAGACAAATCCAAGCAACTAGCAGGGAAGGTAACATGGTTTCACACTGTAGCACATTATAAATCGGTCATGTAAACACTTAAGGTGTGATTTTAAAAATAACATTCTAGCAGCCCGCCTCTTATACAGTAGATCTGAAAACAATGGCCTTTTGTTACTTTGCACAGAAGTAGTATGTTAAATTGAATTTAGCAAGCATACATGTAAGACTGGGGGAATGTGAGAAGTCCATCCTTAAAGCGCTTTGAGAATTCATTGCTGATGCCATTCTTAAATAGCATAAGAGTGACGCCAAAATCCACTAGAGCGGTCGACATCCCTTTCATCTGGGCAGCTTATGTGCCGCGTCGAGGACCAAACATTTCTGAAACTTTATCAGGCTGTATCTCTTTAAGTAAGTTTTTACATATATGTCAGCAGTTGGCCATATTGTTTGGATTATCGTGTGCTTTTTTGAGAAGTGCTTAATTTTAGCTGTCTTATTACTCTTCTGGTGTATGTGCAGGGGAGGGCGGCAGGACTTCAGCCACTCACCAAGTGCTGGCTGGAGTATTTACATCGCTTTTGGGATTATAGGTTCTTGAAGGCTGGTAGGCAATTTGGGGGATGTTTGCAGAGTAGTGAAAAGGAGTGTAAAAAAATAGTCATTTAGTCAGTGAAGAGTGATGGTGTTCAAGGTGACCAAGAACACATGACTGAAGACTGGGGTGAGATGGCGTCTGGGACTGGTGTCTGAGAATACAGGAGCACTCATTAGCGACTGCTGTGTGTTAACTTTGGGTGTCCAGTCATCTCCTTACATACTAGTTGCCATTGCAGTGCCTTTCTCATGGTTCTTTGAAATGTCTTGTACAGTTGAGGAGCACTTGTGTTTAACTGTAGGTTTATCTCCAAAGGTCGAGGTTCCTGGTAATCCTCATTTCGTCTAGCTCTTTTACACAACCTGGAAAGTGGCTTGGAGATCCCACTGGCTGACCAGCCTTGGTGACTAGAGCTTCTGCATGAGTTTAAGGCCTACATTTGGTCTGGGTTCATGGACCTCGTCGGAGACTGCGGTTAACGTCTCTTCCGCCACACAATTTGAAAACGTCACCTCTGTCTCAGTATGCACCAACATCCCAGGGACTTTACCATGCCGACGTGTTCATGGAGAGGGCCAGCATGCGCTCACATCACCGCTCGATCCACATTCGGAAAATAAGTAATTCTGGGCAGTCAAACAGCAAGGTATTTTATTTAATTTCAGACTGGCTCTTTACAGAGCTACCCCACCAATAAAATCAATGTGCTGTTGCATGCAGTATGACTACATGCTTGTAATGCGTCAATGGGGATTAAAACATAATGCAGCTGTCTGTGCATAGGAGCCAGAAACAAAAGCCAGCAGTGGTCCTAAACGATTCCTTTCAATTAATCTTTTGCTGGAAGTGGTAAACATCCCTGATGGGTCCACATGCGTGTTGAGCAGCACTTTGTGTCCATTGAGGTGGCGGCGTTCTTTATCCCAGTGAGCCTGAGCATTACCGTTTCACGACGGTTAGCTTAGCATGGTACATGGTACTGGGCTCTCGTGACCATTTAATGTGGCCCCATCTTCACAAGCGTGAACGTGTCACTGTCTGGGATCCTATCCCGATTCCAATTGGGTTGAACTGCTTCCTCTCCCCCATCCTCCCCCCGAGTCTAATTATTCCGGATGGAGCGAGATGGGGGGGCAGTATGCAGCCCCGGAGGATGCGGGCCGTGTGTCTTTAACTGGCAGCACTCTGCTGAACCCATGCTTTGCTCTTCTCAGCCCGTTTTGACCCTAAACGTGAAACGCCTCCGCAGGACCCTTCTGTGGGTCCTGTTCTTGGCTAATTAGTCAAGCCACCTGCTTATAAGAGAGCCACAGAAAACAGCCGTAAAACCATTTTAGTGCGGGACACGCTGTCTGCAAAAGCAGATTTTATTTCCCATTCCGGAATATGCTCCTTTGTCTAACTTAGTTGGCTAACAGACGCCTTCATCCGGAATGACTTGAATTTCACAGTTTTCCCCCCTTATACAGCTGAGTGTACTAGACGAGGCAGTTTGGGTTAAGTGGTTTGGTCCTGGGTGTCACAGCAGGATATTTCCTAATCCTCTGGGCCTGAGGTCCCGGACTTCAGCCCCTAGACCGCATTAGCTGCTTCGCAGGATGTTCTCAGCGTGGCACCGTTAAGCTTGGAAGTGACCCAGATTCTTCTGTAGTCATTACTGTGTATTAAGCAGACGGCAAGACCCTCGGACGGTCTCAGGGTCTCCAGCAGTGTGATTTGGTATTAGCAGCGTTTAAATTTAGCTTTTGCTGATTTTCTTTATTCCGCTTATTCCTGGCAGGCCGTCACCACCTAGCTGACTAGCCGTGGCACGTGTGGGATCCACATATGAGCTTGTTTTGGTCATGTGTGCATGTGATCTTTCCTACATGTAAGATCCACCCCGCTGTCCACCTTAGGCTTTGATAATGATCCGGCCCTCCCTCCCCCCCAATACAGCGATCACCTCTCATCCCATTCCTTCTGCTGGGGGGGGGTTAATGGCGGCTCTTTCTGTAATCTGATGCACATCCACATGCTGACGGTGGTTCCTTTGCCTCATTGGACCTCCGATGCTGGTCGCCATCACCCTCTCGCTGCAGTCCTCAGCAGTAAAAAAATAAAATAAAATACATTTTCATCCACTTCTAACATTTACGTTCTCCACCTTCATCCACCTGTCATCCACTCCCATTTGCCTGCACTCTGCCCCAGTTTCTGTTGACTCAGTCCATTCAGCAAAGAGGAAGAGAGGTTTGGGGGCATTTTCTGGACTTGTGTCTTCGTTCTGCATTTGGTTTTATATAATTATCTCTTCTCTATTTCCTCTCCGTCGCTTCTCTGCTACTCACTGCCTGTCTGAAGCACTTACATGAGCCAATGCATGACTTCAGCCACCTCGCCTTTAAGTGGCTCAAGGTATGAAATGATTCACCCCCCCCTCCTATTTGTACTGAGTATTTATGAGTAACGCCCCCCCTGCCCCTGCACTCTTATTTTCCTTATGTTCTCTGTGCCTGATGTTCACTCATCTTCTGTTTGTGCTGCACGTTCTCCTTCTGCTTCTGATTTGCTCCCCTTGCATTCTCCCTCTCGATGCCCAGCTTTTTTTTTTTTTTTAACATTCTGCGACGCTTCCTTTTTCGGGGCAAACCTCAGGGTTCTCGCAGAATCACCTGTCCGGGCGAGAGCTCTCCCACTCTGGGGCCGTCACGTTGGACTCTCACACACATCACATCACTGCTATTTCCTGAATGCTGTTACACTTGAACTCTGGAATTCCTCCTAGGAAAATCTCGTCTGTAAAGTCCCGCTTTTATGGGAAACGGCACAATAAAGCTCTCAGGGTTAAAGTGAGTGGCGACTTGTCCAGTCTGATTGCGAGCTGACCCCTGAACTTTAGGGACGATATGATGCTTTTCTTTATAATTTAGTCCCCTGTCTGACCACTGGCTTAGCATCGCTCCTGTTCGTACCATCCTGCGCTTACTGAAGCAATTCAGGTTAAACCAGGGCTCACGGGTGCTTTTGCTGCTTGCCTCGCAATGTGTGTTTGAGAGTCGGAATGAGATGAGAAAAGGGAACATGTCTGCGTGGTCCAAAGTAAATCCTCAGACTGAAGGCTCCTGCACCCAGCAGATAAACACTGGCTGACGTCTGGCTTGTTGAACTTGGCTGCCAGGTTCACTTTTGTGAGGGAGGCTGATTTTTTGGCAAGTATTTTTTTTTTTTATAATTGTCCAGTCTATCCGCCCCAGCCTGTAAACTACAGAAACGAGAAAAGTTTGAAAGCTGTGTGTATTATAATAAAGTGTGTTTATTAGCCTGGGCATAGAGCAGGCTATTCTGGTGTTTTCAAAGCGAGTGATTAAGATGCATTTCGCGGCGTTCATGTGGTGGAGAGAGGGTGGTGATCACACCCTTTCATAAAAGCAGCCCCGCTTGGAGCTTGGCCCTGTAGTGATGTAGGAGTTTCTGGCTGAACATGGTGACACGAGCATAATTAGCCCCAAGTCAGTTTCCTTTAAGGGCTGTATTCATTTTCAGTGGGACCAGAACCAGCCAATGACTTGTGCTGTTTTCTAATCCGAGATGATCGCGGTATTTCAGCGCTCTGATTTTTATCCGGCACAGTTTGCCTGCTTGTCCGCCGATGTTGTTTCAGGCATTATTGCCGAGTTATGGTATTCCAGGGAGTTTGTGTTCCTGCTCACACACGGTGGCCAGTGTGCCTGCATACTGTACATACGTTTTTTAGCAGGTATTTTTAAAGCCTGCTTTTCCTATTGATTCAGCTTGTCTGCTGCTTGCCCCCCTGCCCCCCCCGGATGCTGTGGTCTTGTGCCCGTCTCGCTGACCTTTACGGCAACTGAGATCCACCAAAAGCACGCTGGCGCCCATTCAGACAGGAATGCGCCGGGCTGTAGGTGTTATAATGCAGAGCAGCTTTTTACAAGGTGAGAAGCATCTGAAGTTTGCATAGGCGAAAGGAGGGGGCGGCTTGTGGCTCAACCTCGCGTTCACAGATCGGGCGGATGCAACAGAGGAGACGCTGCATCAACAGATCTGGTGACAGTCAAGGAAGAAACGCCGTGTTTGTATTTTGTTTATTTTGACTAACAAAACATTTGGCTCAGAAACCGTTTCATCTTTCGAAAGTCGACTTGCAGAGGAGACCTCCTGTGAATTGCTGTCTCCCCTTCTAGGCCAGGTGGAACCTGGGAAATTCACTGTGGGAGCGATTGTCTACCGCGACGAGGGTGTGTTAGTATTGAGGCACAACCAAGCGGTACGACGCCAGCTGGATGGAGATAGCCACTTCCCGTGGGCAGTCAGCTCCCTGTACACCAGTTAAAGACTGATAGACACGCTGTAGTTGCTGCGGTACAGTAGCCCCCCCCCCCGCAGGTCGGCACTGTGCTGCGTCGCACCTGTGAACATTGCAGCTGACCGGTTGGCGCTTTAATCGTGTTTTCACAAAATCGTTGTTTCATCAGGTCAGCGCCTCCTTGCAGATACAGTGATTGGCGGTAAGGCAGTGAAGGGGGGCGGTGTGGATGTAGCAGAAAGGGGGGGGGGGGGGGGGGGGGGGTTGTAGCACTGGGCGTTTGTTTCCTCACCATGTGAAGTCCTCGGGCCTGACTTCATGGCGCTTGCTTTTCAG